ACAAGCACACGCAAACGCACACACACACACATATATATCAATTTATAATAATTTGTTACATCTTATATATATATTTAATCAACAGCTGAATAATAATGTGGACAACAAAGACAACATCCATATATATTCATGTATCTGGTTTATATATATATATAACCAATTATTTATAATAATCAAAAAAACTAAACAAAAAATAATAATAAAGTTTTATTTATTATAATATTAATCAACTGTAATCATAAAATAAAAACAGACAATGATAGATCATACCGCTTAAATAAAGCTTCTTCATTGGCATCAATGGTTCCATCTTTCCATTTCACATAAGGTTCTTCAAAGTGACAAAATGTTCTTTAGGTGATTGAAATAGGATAATAATATGAATGTGTTGTTAATTGAATATACTGTATTTGTATGAATGTACCTGTCAGTGCTGCTGGTTGAGCGCTGCTGTGTCGCTGTCCTCCAGGGAAGGCAGTAGGTTGTATAGTTATCTCCTGATGGGGCAAAATCACTGCCCTGAAACCACACAACCTACTACCTCACCCTGAACGAACATCAGGAGCGGTCCTGCAAAATAATCAACCTCATGGCAAAGACCGTGCTCGAAATGCATGCTGAGACCTCGAGATGCTGAAATATTCTCCAGACTTGCATAATGTGAATGAAAAATGATGAACACTTTTGAAGCGCACATCTGCGAAAACGTCCCTCGAAAAAACTGCAGCGGAAGCCGTGGGGAAAATCCATCACGGTGATCTGAAATGTTTCTTAACAAAAGATCTTCTGGGAAAATCTAGAAATCAATTCATCATTCAATCCCAATATGCACATCGTGTAATTCTTTAGTAGTAGTAGTTTTAATATTTTATTGATGGATGTTGTCCATTCCAGAGACTTCATCTGTCCAACCCAGTCTGGTCTAGTTGTGTTGCGGCAGGGTTATTATAGTTAGCTAAACCTAAAACCATAAAAAAGAATAATAATAAAAAATTTTATATTAAAATAAAATATAAAAACCAAACCTATTTTATTTGCATTTTTCAGCTTTCAACATTCTCATTTTTTAGTTGAAGTATTAAAATAACAAATCAAATAAACTAAAACTAATAAATAAAAAGTAATAAAAACTATGTTGACATTAAAAAAATGAAAATAAAACTAATAACAATGTCAGAAACGCACTAAAACCTTAAATAAATATATATACATAAAATTACACTTATTAAATATATATATATACAATATTAAAATTACAATAAATTATTATGTATTAAATATATAATAATTATTAAAATCTATAACATTTATATAAATAATATTAAAATAAATGTATATTAAAATAAAATATAAAAACCAAACCTATTTTATTTGCATTTTTCAGCTTTCAACATTCTCATTTTTTTAGTTGAAGTATTAAAATAACAAATTAAATAAACTAAAACGAATAAATAAAAAGTAATAAAAACTATGTTGACATTAAAAAAATGAAAATAAAACTAATAACAATGTCAGAAACGCACTAAAACCTTAAATAAAATTGAAAACAGTAAATCTAAAAATATTTAAAAATATATAAAATGTATAAAATAACACGCACACGCACGCACACGCACACACACACACACACACAATCTCATTAAAACAAATAAAAATATAATAAAAATCAGCCTTATTTCAGCTACTTGCCACATTTCTCATTTTGTTTAGTTTAACTTGAAGTACTAAAATTACAAATTAAAATGAATAAATAAAAATGCATAAAACTACAGAAACATATTTAAAAAATAATGTCAAATGCCGAAAAAAATAAAAAAAATCACATGAAAACTTTACCTAAATTTAAAATGAAAACTGAAAATACTCAAATAAAATCTAATTCAAAATATTAACAAAAACGATAATAGTTTATCAATAATACTGAAATATCACTGGCCCATGTTTTGTGTCCATCCGTCGTCGGGCTTAAAGAGGAAGATGACGGTGATTTTACAGCCTCTTCAGGAAAGACAGTAAGTTGTATAGTTATCTAACAGGAAGGGTGTCACCCTAAAACTATACAACCTACTACCTCACCCCAAAGGACAGTGGGATCCGCTGGAGAGACGTCCTCGCTTCAGCCCGACTGAAAACCAGCTCATCAATACAGCACGCCAGCCATATAAAGCAGGGGTCTTCGACAGCATCTAGTGGGTACAGTGGAAAGCTATTTATTCAGCTTTCGGATGATGCATAAATCTCAATTTTGAAAAATGGACCCTCATGACTGGTTTTGTGCTCCAGGGTCACATATGGAGAGCGGAAATGAACTCAGATATGAAACAAGCAATCAATTTAAGTGTAAAAGCAGCCTAAAAGATAAACACGTTAGTGAAAAATTGCGTGTGTGGATTTGAACCGGCACCTTTCAAACTCATCTCAGTCTCATCACTGCGCGTCTCTCCTTCCGTCTGTAATAAAGAGAGATGAGTCTCTGTCAGGATCTGCTTTTATGGTCAGTGTGTTCTTCAGTAATAAGGAAAGGAAAGATCAGTCTCTAAAAGGAGAATAAACAAACACATTCATGACGTGGCCTGGTGGGAGCTGCACATGCGTTACATCCTGGCACTTCTGTGGAAAACCCAAGTCTGAGTCTAGTTTGGTCATTTCCCAATCCCTACCTGCCTTCTCCATATTGTTTCTATCTGCTCTACTGTCAACACAAAACCTCATTAGATATTTATAAACATGTAAATATTTAATTGCATTTAAATTTAGAGTAAAACAAATGAAACAATAAGATGAAATATTTAAATAAGCATTTCAATTACTTATTTATATATTTTATTTCAAATTGAAACATTTGTTTAATGTGTTTATTTTTTTATTTTAATATTTTAATATTAGAGTTAAAATGAAAAAAAGTTATTTTAATTATTTATTTACCTAGGTTAATTAATATTTAAATAGTTGTTTAATATTTGGTTATTTTAAGTATTTATTTAAATAATTTTATTTTTATTATTTAACTTTTTTAAAACTCTAATATTAATCTTGGCTTTGAACTTTTTTACTAACAAAGGTTTTGATTTATTGACTAATTTAATGAAAGTCAAGTCTAAAGTTTGCAAATATTTTTGCGTACATTAAGACAATAAATAATTAAGAGTTTTTTTATACAAACATTTTGAATTTCTAAAGCATGAATAACATGAGCATACCAGTCAGACTTACTGACCTTGACACACAGCTTTTGTTTTATTTAGGTTTAGTTTTAGTACTTAAAGTTGAATCAAAATGAGAAATGTTGCCTTGGCAACTAGTTGAAATAAATGTATTATATTTTATTTTTTACTTTATATGTTTTTTTTAATGTTTTATTTCAGTTAACATTTATATTATTTCAAGTAATGCATTATTATTATTATTTATGGTTTTGGTTAACTATAATAACACTGTTCCAGACTTTTTAAGATCACAGGACAGTCACATGACCTTGACTTTAAGCCCAACAAAAATAGAATCATAGATGTTGCCTTGGCAACTAGTTGAAATAAATGTATTATATTTTATTTTTTACTTTATATGTTTTCTTTAATGTTTTATTTCAGTTAACATTTATATTATTTCAAGTAATGCATTATTATTATTATTTATGGTTTTGGTGCAGACGGGAGGAAATCCAGACAGCTGAGTTTGCTCAGCAGACACTAAACAGGGCAGGAGAGGCTCGACGGCCCCCGGGTTCACAGAGCAGAGGCCTGAAGCAGCTTCTCTTATATGCCAACAGCTCCTGTTACAGATGTGAGGGACTCTGGCTGAGGGGGAGGACGGATGCAGACGCCGCGGCCCCTGCATGATCTGGAGCCCAGAGCGCATGAGTTACAGTGCAGGGCTCGGAGGGCGAACGCAGCTAGAAGACAAAGTCACAAACTATAATAACACTGTTCCAGACTTTTTAAGATCACAGGACAGTCACATGACCTTGACTTTAAGCCCAACAAAAATAGAATCATAGTTCAGAAATCAAAAACACGCTCATCAACTAAGAGGTCTGTTCGTGTCATTGCCTGTACAAATTGCATATAATGAATAAACTACTGGATTGAAAACCCCATAAAACTGTGCTACTGCACTACCCAGCACACCCTTTAATCAGGATCGCCCTGCGACGATGCTGCGGCCCCAAGGGGCCCCAGGTGCAGACGGGAGGAAATCCAGACAGCTGAGTTTGCTCAGCAGACACTAAACAAGGCAGGAGAGGCTCGACGGCCCCCGGGTTCACAGAGCAGAGGCCTGAAGCAGCTTCCCTTATATGCCAACAGCTCCTGTTACAGATGTGAGGGACTCTGGCTGAGGGGGAGGACGGATGCAGACGCCGCGGCCCCTGCATGATCTGGAGCCCAGAGCGCATGAGTTACAGTGCAGGGCTCGGAGGGCGAACGCAGCTAGAAGACAAAGTCACACGTATGCAGCGCAAAAATGCAAACATGCACAGTTCAGTAGTTTTGGGGTCAGTACGATTTTTATTTATTTTTTTAAAGAAATTAATACTTTTATTCAGTCATTGCATTGATCAAAAGTAAATACATTTATAATGTTAAAAGTATTTCCATTTCAAAGAAATGCTGTTCTTTTGTACTTTCTATTTATCAAAGAATCCTGACAAACATGTCTGTTTTATTATTATAATTTTATTTATTTTTGTTGCAATTTTGAGAAATTTTGAGAATTGAGAGATAAACTCAGAATTATGAGAAAATAGTCAGAATTGCAAGATATAAACTTTTTTATTCAAATTTTTTGGATATTGCATTGAAAATGCTAGATTAGAAACAAATAAAAAACTTAAAGCAGATGGAAATAAAATAGTAAATGTTTAAAAAAAAATAAAAATTTGCATTAAGACCGTATGTCATTATTATTATTATTTATGGTTTTGGTGCAGACGGGAGGAAATCCAGACAGCTGAGTTTGCTCAGCAGACACTAAACAGGGCAGGAGAGGCTCGACGGCCCCCGGGTTCACAGAGCAGAGGCCTGAAGCAGCTTCCCTTATATGCCAACAGCTCCTGTTACAGATGTGAGGGACTCTGGCTGAGGGGGAGGACGGATGCAGACGCCGCGGCCCCTGCATGATCTGGAGCCCAGAGCGCATGAGTTACAGTGCAGGGCTCGGAGGGCGAACGCAGCTAGAAGACAAAGTCACACGTATGCAGCGCAAAAATGCAAACATGCACAGTTCAGTAGTTTTGGGGTCAGTACGATTTTTATTTATTTTTTTAAAGAAATTAATACTTTTATTCAGTCATTGCATTGATCAAAAGTAAATACATTTATAATGTTAAAAGTATTTCCATTTCAAAGAAATGCTGTTCTTTTGAACTTTCTATTTATCAAAGAATCCTGACAAACATGTCTGTTTTATTATTATAATTTTATTTATTTTTGTTGCAATTTTGAGAAATTTTGAGAATTGAGAGATAAACTCAGAATTATGAGAAAATAGTCAGAATTGCAAGATATAAACTTTTTTATTCAAATTTTTTGGATATTGCATTGAAAATGCTAGATTAGAAACAAATAAAAAACTTAAAGCAGATGGAAATAAAATAGTAAATGTTTAAAAAAAAATAAAAATTTGCATTAAGACCGTATGTGTGTATATATATATATACACACATATATTTTTTTTTCTTCTTTTTTTTTTGTAAAATTACATTATTTTATCTTAAATAAAATATCAAACAACAATAACAATATCCTGTTGTCCATACACTAATTTTTATTCAGATTTTGGGATATTGCATAAAAATGCTGGATTAGAAACAAATAAAATTAAGCAGTATGGAAATGAAATAGTAATTGATTTAATTATATATGTGTGTGTATGTGTATATATATATATATGTGTGTGTTGAAAAATTACATTATTTTATTTTATCCAAAGTAAAATATCAAACAACAATAACAATATCTTGCTGTCCAAAAACCAATTTTTATTCAAATTTGGGCTATTGCATAAAAATGCTGGATTAGAAACAAATAAGAGAAACAAACATATAAAAGATTTAAAAATAAAAATGTGCATTAAGAATTGAGAGATAAACTCAGAATTATGAGAAAATAGTCAGAATTGCAAGATATACACTTTTTTATTCAAATTTTTTGGATATTGCATTGAAAATGCTAGATTAGAAACAAATAAAAAACTTAAAGCAGATGGAAATAAAATAGTAAATGTTTAAAAAAAAATAAAAATTTGCATTAAGACCGTATGTGTATATATATATATATATATATACACACATATATTTTTTTTTCTTCTTTTTTTTTGTAAAATTACATTATTTTATCTTAAGTAAAATATCAAACAACAATAACAATATCCTGTTG